ATTGACTAAGGCCCACTATTGCTCCCACTTCCTAATTCCTTTCACAATTTATTGACCAAGGCCCACTAATGCTCCCACTATTTACTTCCTCTGACAATTTTTTGACCAATGCCCACTAGTGCTCCCACTACCTACTTCCTCTGACAGTGTATTGACTAAGGCCCTCTAGTGCTCCCACTACCTACTTTCTCTGACAATTTATTGCCAAAGCCCACTTCCACTTGTGCTCCCACTACCTACATCCTCTGACGATTTTTTGACTTAGGCCAATTAGTGCTCCCAATACCTACTTCCTCTGACAGTGCATTGACTAAGGCCCACTAGTGCTCCCACTTCCTAATTCCTTTCACAATTTCTTTTGACCAAGGCCCACTAGTGCTCCCACTACCTTCTTCCTTTGACAGTGCATTGACCAAGGCCCACTAGTGCCCCCACTATTTACTTCCTCTGACAATTTATTGACTTGCCACTTACACACACTGCTATCTTTACTGTTAAAGTGGGGGTTTCCTTTACACTGCCACAGCACAAAGGGATATTTACAGGTCTTCCCTTGCCAACAAAGATGTGAGGAAACCTTGAATGTATGACTTATAATGTCATCATAAGAACATGTAAAGTTCTTTCAGTGTGGTCAATGGACTAAAATGTCTACAAGTGCTTTCACCACCAACTTCTTCCGACAATTTTTTTTACCAGCCACTTTACAATATTTGGTTAGAGGAAGGAGTACACAAGCCTGGATTTGTGGCATGCTAGACAATTATTATTGCACTGCCTGCTATGAGCAGAGATCTTTGCGGCCACTCAATTCTGTTCACCATATATAATGGATTTCCTGGACTTCTAAACCAGATGGTTCCTATTCGGGTACTTCCTGTTATAGGGTGGCACCACTCTGTTTTGGTCTCCCAATTGATCTCCTGCATTGTCACCCATAATGGCTGTCACATAGAAATGGTCCACTGTTGCCACCATCAGGAAATCTACCCCGAGAAATGCAATACATCAGCCGCACGATAAGATGCAACAGTGTATGAAAAACAAAAAATTTTTAAGCAAACTAAATGTCATTCTGTCAATGTTTAAATATACTTTGAGGAAGATTGGAAGTTATGAATGAGAAGGCTTCTAATGATCTTCTCTAAGTGGGGTTGACTCTTAGGCCTGACAGGACCTGCACACCCAATTCCTGTGGCAGTATTTTCTCCTCTTATCTCTATACGTTGAACTCGATGGACTTGTGTCTTTTTTTAACCTGACTCTGTAAGCCATTTTGTTAAAACGTTAAATTTTTATTTTTCCCTGCAGCCACTTACCAGCAAAAAAGTAAATCAGTCACTTCAGTGAGCCACATAATAAAAATTGTTTGAGTCACAATATGTTACCCTATAATTATTTTTAGAACAGACAAATAGAGGTTTTGTCAGCAGTCACCATAAGAAGCAACGGGAGCTGAAACCCAAAAATGTTTTTCATTTTTTTTATATATGGAGGCATTGTGACAGTATACAAGAAAAAGGTCTCAACGATTTATGCTTGTTAAAGCTTATGAACCATTTGACATGGTTTTACATCGCCAGTAAAACATCACAAGGTCCCCTCAGTCATTTACAACCTTGCGACAACACAGAATTGTTCCAATGTGAATACGACACAAGTGGAGCCAAGTAGAAGTGCCTCTCGCTGCTTGTTATTGTCCAAGGATAAAATAATAGCTGGAACATTAAAGCCTATCATTTAATCACACTTTTCTCAGTGGGGAAATCATTAACATTTATAAGGTTTTATTCTTGTAGTGAATATGTAATAATCGTTTCACACTGTGCAATGCAATTATTAATAGTATGGTTTACAAACACAATGACAGTTACAACAACCCCCTGTGGAAGTCTACCTTGTTCCTGGCTTATACATAATTCTCGGTTTGCTACCCTTGCTATGTATTTATTATTTGTAATTATAATTGTGTTCTTGGTTTGTGAGATTTTGAAAGTTACAGACAAACAAACACCCCACACACTTGCTGCACAGCTCTAATATTAAAAGTTGTACAATTCTATTAATAGCTTTAAAGTTCACCTGAGTCCAGACTAGAGACATGAAACTATTAGCATACCCTTAATAAGCAGTGGAGCACTCTGGTAGGGCAGCTAATTCATTACCGCAGATTAATCTTATTCAGAGAAGTGTGTTCCCCTTTGTTTTTAATCACCATGCACCAATAGGTTACCATGCGATGTGGTACGATACAACTCACATGCGATGGCTAGGTGTGTTGGGGTGCATTAGGAAATAATGCCATGTGAGATCACGTGCGGTATTGCACAGATTTCCAGATCAGAAAGATGTGAACAGAGCCCAAATGTTCTTTAAAACAGTGGTTCTCAACTTGTGTAACCTCAGGACCCACATTTGTCCTTGGTCATTAAGTCGCGACCCAAGTCGCACTGCAGTGGAACGCACAGCATAGCGGTACCGCGTGTTTCGGTGCGGGCGGGTGAACGAACTGTGGGTGGGAGGGGCGTTAGGGGTGCCATTCAAAAGACCCACCCAGTCTCCATACCTTACGAGAACCGGAGTGGATCCTCAGATCCTCGGATCTGCCCACATAGTTGTGGAAGTATCCTGGTTACCACGACAATGCTTTCTGAGGCCGCTGTATATCGCTCAGTTCATGTCATGTTCTATAAGCATTTTGTCCACGTTATATCTATTACTGTATTACTGTTTTCAATTTGCTCTGACAATGTATTATTCCAATGCTTTTCTGGCACTAATATGACATCATGGTGACGTCAGGGGGGTTCATACTCATTTGATGGTTTGCCACTGTATTTAATTGTCTCACATTGGTGTATTGTTGTCAATGTGTTTGCCCGATGAAGAGACCATGTTCGGTTCCTGGTAAAACCGCACACAGCCCTGTAAATCATGGATTGATTGGACCTGTAGTCTATTGCTGGTTGCCATTCTACATTGCTGAATAATCCTGGATTGAGTTACAGTTCTTCATAATTATAAAGAAACTGCCCTAAAATCATCAGTCTGTGCTGTTTTAGAAAAAAATTCACATGTCCCTTTAAGAAAAAGTATCGGTAATTGGTATCGGCAAGAACCAGAGGGACAGTACTTGTACTTGGTCTTAAAAAAAGTGGTAACGGGACATCCCTACTGTCTGTAGTTATTTTTGAATGTCTGTGCAATATTTGTTATAATAGATGGAGTAGCAACTGCACTGGTTGCATGGAGCACTGATGTTATGGTGGCTCCACAAACTGGTGCCATTTATAGCCAAGACAGTTACACATTACCTCTGGTAAGAATCTGCCCAGTAGTTTAGGTAATTGTTTTGGGGGTAATGGGTGGAAAGGGGTCACTGTATAGTACAGTTTAGGGTTAGGAGTTAAGTGGGTTAAAGTGACATTAAACCCTCAGAATCCATGGTTGTTTCCCTTCTCTTTGCTGCTCTTCCTTTTAAATCTGTATCTCTTCTCATGCTGGGCAGAACTCCTGTTTTGCAGCAGACTGCCTTGTCTCTGAAATGGATACATGGTGTCTGTGTGAAGGTTCACAACCTGAGCCAGCACCACAGGAAGAGGCACCCAGCTGCAAAGGGAAGTTCTCCCCCAGCATGAGAAGATATGCAGATTTAAAAGGAAGAGCAGCAAAGAGAAGGGAAACTACCATGGATTACAGTAAGGCACACATTACAGTATTGTTTTATGTTCCAAAATCCGAGGGTTTAATGTCACTTTAAGTTGAAGGTTTAGAATAAAGAGACCATGTCACCAATTAAGAAATTGCAGGTAAACACACAGAAAAATCATGTATTTTTAAAGTTTACCTGGAGTGTTTTTCCTTTCAGTAAATGACTATGTAGCTTCCCGGGAAGGAGCGTAGGGGAATAATATACAATATCTTGCAAGAATGTCTTAATTTTTTTGTCCAATCTATAGACAAAAAAAAAAAATTAAACTAAAAAACGCACTTCAATGATCAGTGTTGGTTTAAAAAAAATAATGGTACTGTAGATAAAAGGCACACTTTTCATTCTATCATTTGTCCAATTTAAAAGGACACACAAATTATGATCCTGGTAGACAGCATTGCAAAGGTGTTTAAAAGTGAAATAAACCATTTTTTTGTAAATGTTGCTCTTTTTTTAATGCTACACTGAAAAAATAATGAACAAATCAAATCTAAATTTAAAAAGTGCAAATATTGGTTAGAAAAAATAAATAGAAATAAACTAGAATTGATGGCACGTGTAAAAGGGGAATAAGGACGGAACATGCTACACATGTCCTGTGTACTTTGATGACGTTTATCTGGACATGTGTTCTATGTCCAGTGTCCACAACTGGTTACAAATATTTTCTTGTTATTTAGTCAGGTGAATATGAAATTTTGGAGAATAAAAATATTGTGTTCTTCTGACGCAGCAGGTGGTGCACCAGTTTCCTTTCCATATGGTTCGTTTTTTCAGATTTGCTGGGAACAGTCTATGGTTTACAGAACTCAACCTAAACGAGTCAGATGGATGACCTATCCCTTAGTAGACAACTCACGCTGAGGTTTCAATCAGCCAAAGCTACCTGGTGCTGTGCTCACTCTTTAGCCCTTAGTGCTCTGAGAATCCTGTGTAATTATGCATTTCTGTATGTAGTATGGATGTTTTCTAATTTTAAAACACTTTAGTAAATTGACTATACTGTGGATCACATCTGGTATAGATGAGACTTATAAGTTAACATTGATTTTTTTTTTTTTTTTTCAGAGCTGAAAAATAGGATCATAATAATGCTGATATCTGGCTAATACATTGAGGGAATTTATCAAAACTGGGGCAGACAGAGTCTGGGGCAGTTGCCCATAATAACTAGTCAGCTTATTGTGTATCCCATGCTCTCTGGGGAAAACAGTGCCAGAGGCCCATGAACACTACATACCCCATCATGTCTTTTCAACAATCCCTAACATTCTACTTCTTATTTCAGGTCAACGCAAATCAAAACATATTCATGGGACAATGCTCAAGTAATATTGGTTGGTAACAAATGTGATATGGAGGATGAACGAGTGATTTCTGCAGAAAGAGGAAAACATCTGGCAGAACAATTGGGTGAGTTTTGGAATGATTGCTGTTCTGGTTTTGAGGTGAAGGATGGCCCTGGTATCATCCTACAGTGAACTGTTGATAGGGGTTTGTTTCCAGGAGTCTACACTTACTAGGCCACTTGAGGGTCATCTTGCATGACCTGGGAGAAATAGTATTACATAAGTATATACAGTGGGTATAAATGTTAACTCGCTTAGGCATAACACCACTAACGTCACAGGCAGAACGGAAAAAATAAAGTACCCCTGCAGGAGAGCAGACCTCAATCACAGTTTTAGCTCTGTTTCTCAACATTTGCTGAAACTGTGTTCTGTAGTTCTCCTGCACACAGCCACAACTGCCAATTACATCTGTGGTAGTGGCTGGGGGAAGAGCAGCAGAGGGCAACTGGAAAAAGAATAATCCGACAAACCCGGAGTGTTGAATTCTTTTCAATTTTGCTCTGCTTGTAGCTGCTATAAGTTACTAAAATCATTACACTGAGTGGGTGGGTTTTCTTCTAGTTAAGTTTGTGGCTGTTGCCCACCCCTTTCTTCTAGTTAAGTTTGTGGCTGTTGCCCACCCATCATTGGGACTTTCCTTGGACATTCCAATAGTCTTAAGGACAACTGAATCCTGTGTCCCTTAATGAACTAGAAAGAAAACAGCATTTTGGTGCAGGCCTTTTTGTACTGTAAAATTACCCCTTTGGTATTGGCCTTAAGTACTGCTTGCTTACAAAACTGAGGCACCACAGTTGGAGGCAAGGATATGCAGGGGCTGGCTTAACATTTTTTTTTGTTTGACAGTAAACAAAAATCCTGTTTTTCAGGATTTTAGATACACACATTGTGCCTCTGTTCGTTCCTTTCTTTTAATTATTTTCATTTTTTTCCTTCCCTACCGCTCACTTCTCTCTTTGTTTCTATGTTTCCTTTTTCTTGCTTCCGTCTCTGACATCCTTCTTAAATGCCTGTTTTTCTCCTTCCAGGTTTTGAGTTTTTTGAAACCAGCGCCAAAGATAACGTCAATGTCAAGCAAACGTTTGAGCGTCTGGTGGATATCATCTGTGACAAAATGTCAGATAACTTAGAAACGGATCCCGCCATCACAGCTGCCAAGCAGAGCACAAGACTGACAGACAAGCCACCTCCACAGCAGCCCAACTGCAGCTGTTAGTAGTACCATGCAGGTGGCTTCAATGTGTTCTATTGCCAACAAGTATTTTAAAAAACAAAGGTCTATACTAGGCAAGGGCATCCTGCTGCCCCCCAGATGTTGCTAAGCTACAAATCCCAGCATGCCCTACCATCTAGAGGCAGGCAGGGCATCCTGGGAATTGTAGCCCCTCAATGGCTGGACGAGGCAGGCAACCTGACCCTAGTCTATATGCTTTTCATCTCTCCTGTCTATATATCTGTCCTGAAAGAAAATAATTTGCTCTTTTGTGTATGGTCGGCTGATGAATGGTGGCCTGGAGGCTGAGACCTTACAATAAATGTTTCCTGCTGTTTGCAAGTTAAAATGGCTTTGTATGCTCTGATAATGTGTATGTTCCTGACTCCTTCTCCTACAAAGTTTTCTGAGAACGTTCTGTTCTAAGTGAATGACTAAATAGCGTCTGTGTGTAGTCATAAGTAAAGATTTAAAAATGTGGCGTAGAGAAAGAATTATAACATTTTCAATTGATTGCTAAGGGTTAACGTTACTACCAGAGATATGTGTGAAATGTGTTTTATTATGTTTACATAGCTCTTCGGCTAGTAAGTCGCTTTGCTGACACTCTATGTAGTGGAATCAGAATAAACCCATTTTGTCCATTCTGTTGCAGCTTCCCCTAGAGTTCTTTTCAGCTGTACTGCACTATTTTGCTGTGTTGTGTAAAGCCAGTAAAAACTATTATGTGTTTTTTCAACACTCAGATATACTGCATATTCATTACTGGGATCGTAATGAATATGTGTGTCCAGCCTTTCACCATCTCTTTAATTAACGCCTAAAATAATCAATTCCCCTTTTAATAAATCTGACAAAATACAATTAAAGGAGAACTATGAGGTGAGTGCTTTTCACTCACCTCATAGTTCTAGCCGACCTGTGACAATGAGACTGTCACAGGTCGGTTCAGTAGATCGGGAGGTGAGCAAACATGTACTGGCGTTCGCTCACCTCTCGATCCTGTCACGGCTCTCTGCCATGACAGGGGAGGGGATGGATTCCCCTCTCCCCGCTCCGATCTGCCAGCGCTGACTGGCGGGACGGGGGAGGGGGCGGGTACAGCTAGCTCTGCCTTTAGATAGGCAGAGCCAGCTGTCAGTCATGCAGCTGGGCGGATCCCGGCACAATTGTCGGGATCCGCTTCAGCTGCGGCGTCTCAGCTGCTCGCGGTATACTGCGGCTAGGGTGACGGGAGGACGCTAGTTTGTGTCCTCCCGTTACCCTAAGGAGAACTATGGGGAAAAGCCTTAACCCCATAGTTCTCCTTTAAGTGCAAATATTCTATTATCTATGCCAAGGGCTTTAAATTGGAAGTTTAAGTAGTTTTGTATTATTGCAGAGTCTGCTTGTTTGCTCTCTGGATCCCTGGAAAGCCACAGTGTTTGTAGACAGGGTTAGACATTTTAGATTTAAACTTGGAAAAGAAGCCAGCATTAGGTATAGGGTAATACATTTTTGTAGTACTCAGCTGCTCATTTTGAGGCATGGATGGTGCAACATAAAATGAAATGGAGCCTTTTTGTTGAAGATTTAACATTGTCATCGGCATTAGTGTTTAATGTGGACAATTTAAAATTACGCTAAACTCAGGATTTAAGTTTTTTTTAAATGCATTTAAGTACCTTAACTATTAACAAAAATGTATCTTATTTGTGTATCACTCGGCTGTAGATCATCAAATCATCTCTGAATTGGTGCTGACACTGTCCTTTCTTCTGGAGGGTGGCTACTTTTGTTCCCCATGGTCCCTGTGTGTGTTGTAAAGTAGCCACAACGCCAACCTTGTTCCTTTGATGGATAACAATCTCAATACAAATTAGTAATCTAAACATGAGATTGTAGTCCATCATGGGAGCGAGCTTGGAGTGGTGGCTACTTTACAACACACTCAGGGACCACGGGGAACAAAAGTAGCCACCCTCTAGGAGGAAGGAAAGTGTCGGCACCAATTCAGAGATGATTTGAGGATCTCCAGCCGAGTGATACAGAAAAAGCTACATTTTTGTTAATAGTTGTGGTACATGAATGCATTTTTAAGATTTAACTCCTGAGATTAGTGTCACTTTAAGCCATTGGGCAACTATTTGACCCTGTATGTGTGTGAAAAATCTGATCAGAATAAGATAATTCAACAAAACCTCAACTAGTCTCATTTGAAATTTTTGTTTGCTCGTTTTTGAGATGCGTGTACCTAGAGACTGAAGGGAGAGATCATCCATTAACATTTTTCTTTAAACTTTTCCATAAAACTGTTCAGTGGGTCCTCTCCAGTATCAAGTAAAAAGAAAAGCAGTACAAGCTTATGATTGGTTTAAGAAATAGGAATGGTGTTTGGGTGCCTATAACAGAGGCATTAATCAAGAGATTTAGTGGTCACAGAATAAGTCTTTACAAAACCTATTAATCATATCTGCTAAAACTTCCCTTGGTGGTGGAAAAGGATTAAAACTTTGAATAAAAAGAGTAACCTTTGATATATATAATCAAATTCCCAATACAGTATATTTCTTGGTATTGGTAAATGCAGCCTGTGTTCTCTTTTTTTTTTTCTGGTCGATGGCCTTAGCCAACCAAATCAGTAGGCCCTGGTGGCATCAGGATGACATAATCTACTCTTTAGCAATAATAATTTTAATTCTCTGACAAACTGGTTCAGAACAGAGTATGGCTCTTGTTTGTGTCAATCTGAACTCAAACTAAAGCCCTAAAATACTAGTTCGTCCTGCAAATGGCTGCATACACTGCATGTGGACATGGCATGCTCTGTAACAATGAATAATACAATAATTGGTGTAATTATTTAAATATATGCTGAGAAGAAGCCCAATTCTAGAGCAAGGTGACTCAAACAATCGGTCAAATGTAGACTGCCTTCCATTATACACGGTAGCATTATTGGGAGCTGTTAATGCACAAATAAACCATACAAGCTATGCTGTCATAATGCCAAAAGATAATGTTAATAAAGGAGATTTCTAGTTCACCTGTAAACTAATTGAAAATCCTCATGATAGTTAACAATTAGTGTTTTGCCTAATGCTCCTAATAGCTTTTTATACATTTATTTTACTGAACCCCACTAGAATGCTTGCATGGTAAAAAGTGTCTCTTCTGCCTTTGTTTAGTTAGTAGAAAGAAATCACTGATCAAACTGATGTCACTAATACACAAATTATCAATCTATGCTTATGATCATTGTCAAGTCCTAAAGCCAGCTATTGTCAAGTCCACAATCCAGCCACCAAAAGATCTTACACATGAAGTATTTGTCTACAAGAATGTACATTTTACGTCGGGGTAACTTATACCCTGTTGGTCCTATGGAGGAGGGTGGAGGAGCACTGAGGTGTCTTTTTGTTTTGAGTGCAGCGGTAGGAGAGAACAGATATCCAACCTAGATGATTACCTTGTTCCTCAAGAATGCTTTGCCAGGACATATCTGCCAGAGTTTAGGAGACTTACATACATACTTAAGATTGTTGCCTCATGTAATTATAAAATACAAAAACTCTTTTATGTTACCTTTAGAATAGCTTGTGCATTCATAACGCTGAATGGGTATGCAACAATATCAAAAGGGTCCCTGATGTGTAATTCTTCTCCATACAGCTTTAATATCTTAATATTTTATTAGGCACAAAGTGGTAGCTTTCATGCTTTTTAACGTTTGAAAACAAAATTGAAATAATCAATATAAGTAGAGATTTCTATTTTTTTTTATTCCCGAAAGACAAATTGTAGGTCAACTGTCTGTCTGAGGAATCATACTTAAACCAAAGTTTTTAGCACATATCACCACTTCCAGAGCGCTCCACATCAGGTAATTTTTCCTTTTTAGAACCCAAGTGCCCTAAATTCTGGTATGTAAATATGAACCCAACTTTCTGGGTCAAGATCCAGGTCCTTCTTCCTTCCAATTCCTAATCCCTACTACTGGTTCGCCAATGTGGTCAATTGTAAGGCTTAGGGGGCAGAAAGGGGCAGGGCCAGGGCCAGGTCCCTAACCTAGCATTGAGTATGACCTGGTGTGTGCAACAAGTTCAGGTAAGTTTCCCTCACTATGGGTTTGTTTTAAGGGAAAACTCTGGCCTATTTTTATCTTGAGGTAAAGTAGAACCTCAAAAGGGTAAAAGAGGAAAACCTGATCTTGTATTATGCTCCTTCTGCTGATATGGGTAGTATAGAAACAGCGCAGAAATCCTGCAGAAGCCTAGGAATGATGCATGGCTCATGCCTATATTTTTAAAATCAAAGTTCATTGTACAAAGGACAATAACTCATTACATGCAATCAAAGCATTTGCTCCTCTCACTACATTTAACTCCTGAATGCTGTAATTTGCATTACCTGTGTTCTCTGGGTTGTGGCACTATTAGCAAGTACTTTAGAACTGCAATGATGAAAATTAAACATGAACAGGGTTCACTTTATGCCTAAGCTGGATTTTTTTTTTAGAACATGTAAAATGTCAAAGGCTGGTCAAGTACCAAAGTACTCCTCAAGAGGTTAACAGCAGTCGATGGCATAAAAGGGCCTAAACAAGTGTCCTTAAAGTGACACTAAACTCAGGAGTTAAATCTTAAAAATATATTCAAGTACCCTAATAACATTTGTATCACTCGGCTGGAGATCCTTAAATCATCTCTGAATTGGTGCTGACACTGTCCTTCCTTCTGGAGGGTGGCTACTTTTGTTCCCCATGGTCCCTGTGTGTGTTGTAAAGTAGTCACCGCTCCAAGCTCACGCCCGTGATGGACTACAATCTCATGTTTAGTTTACTAATTTGTATTGAGATTGTAGTCCATTATGGGACTGAGCTTGGAGTGGTGGCAACAAAAGTAGTCACCCTCCAGAAGGAAGGACAGTGTCAGCACCAATTCAGAGATGATTTGAGGATCTACAGCCGAGTGATACACAAATAAGAGAAATTTTTGTTAATAGTTAAGGTACTTGAATGTATTTTTAAGATTTAAAGGAGAACTATGAGGTGAGTGAAAATCACTCAGCCTCATAGTTCGAG